CCCCAAACACCTCGCGCTGCCAGCAGGTAAACAGAGCGCGCCGGAGCGCGCGTCCTCAAGTAAGCACACTCCCCGAGCACGCATGGAGCGCGCTGGCGCACACCCAAAACTGCTTGAGAAGCTTGCGGAACAAGCTCCCCGAGCGCGCGCTGAGCGTGCTGACCGAACGTTCCAGAGTCCGCCCTGCAACGCCAAGACGAGGGCAACAGAAGGACAAAAGGCAGCCAGAGGACAAGAACAGGACAAGAGGAGGAGGGGGGACGGGCGCGGCCAGCCAGTCGAAGAATTCCAAACCACTTGGAACTATTCCTGAAATTGTGCTCCCAAGCGCGCCCAACAGCGCGCTCCCAGCATGTTCTACAGCGCGCGCCCAAAATCTAACTGAAGAGGACACCCCCTCTCGCCCAATAGACGCCTTCAAACAATTTAGGGCTCACAGGAGGAATAGCTATGGACTGGAACACCTTTCACCAGAGCGAGCTGGCAAAGCCTTCCAGACAGAGCGCGCCCAGAAGTCGAGCGCGCCTGGAGCGCGCCTTTCCGGAGCGCGTGCAGAGCGCGCTGCCATCGCGCTTTATAACTGATCCTGGAGCGCGCCCAAAACTCTCTCCTAGCGCCTTCAAGAAGCAACCTTTAAGGAATTAATTGAAGAGAGGGCTCCAAACTTCAGAGCGCGCTGATATACAGAGGTTGAATCTGTAAGGAATTAATTGAAGAGAGGGCTCCAAACTTCAGAGCGCGCTGATATATAGAGCGCGCCGGAGCGAGAGAGGTGATTGTCAAGCAATTCGAAGTAAGGAAATAGTGAAAATCGAGCTGTCCAAGAGCCACGACTTCTTTATACAACCTGGTATCAAGTAAGAAGTTGCGAAGAAGTTAGATTCAAAATATAAAGAGGAAAGATATGTAGAAAGAGAGAAAGAGAGGGCGGACGTGAAGGAGTGCAGGTGTGATATAGATGCGCAGATGTGTGGGTGTGTGGAGGTAGAGAAGTAGATCTGCGGGTGTGAGCGTGTGAAGATGTAAATAGACGTAGATGCGCAGACGCAACGGCAGCGCACCGTCGTGGGTCAGGAGCGCCAACCTTGGTGCATTTCTCGCCGCTGCGCAACCACAACCCTGAAGAGGTTCGAATCAAATTGCAAGATTTAAAGCACACCAGAGCCACGCCGCGTTTACACCAGCATGTTTCGTGCTCCCCAGTGGCACGGCGCCACGCAAACGCGCTTGCCACCAAGGCTGCGCAAATCCGCATGGCACTGCGACATCACGGACGTAATTTCGCCACATGGTCTGCCAACACACTAGAAGCAATCCTATCACACGATACCGCCAATCATCCCGCTCACCAGCGACACGCCGCGTTTACACCAGCATGTTTCGCGCTCCCCAGTGGCACGGAGCCACGCAAACGCACTTTCCACCAAGGCCGCGCAAATCCGCATGGCACTGCGACATCACAAACGTAATTTTGCCACACGGTCTGCCCACACGCTACAAGTAATCAATAGTAATCATATCACACGATACCGCCAATCATCCCGCTCACCAGCTACACGCCACGTTTACACCACATGTTTCGCGCTCTCAAACGCACTTCCCACCAAGACCTCGCAAATTCGCATGGCACTGCGACATCAGAAACGTAATTCGCCACACGGTCTGCCCACACACTAGAAGCAATCATATCACACTTAGATGGGCTGGGGTGTTGTTAACTAGTTAACAAAATTAACATAATTAGCTAACAGTTATTAACTATACTGCTGTCTAATGACTTAGGCCAACGTGATGCAAGTGACATACCAATCTGGCTACCCCCAGGGCTAAGTCATGTGCCCTGACATATCGAGCAAAAAAAATGTCTGGGTTGGGAAACCTGGTGTCATAGGACCTGTGGACACCTCCTCGACAAAAAAAGTAAAAAAACAGCTAAATAATGCTAGATACCACTGCCTGGCACCCTGGTGACACAGTGGTGACATAGGGTGCGACTATGTGTTTTTGCGGACGCTGCTTCCTTGAATACCTCATACATATTTCTATGAATATCATGGTTGTGGCCTGATGACATAGGCCTTAAGAGGAAATGCCAATGTTGGATCAATCCTGATGACATAGGCTTTTGGAATTGGCGTGTATGTCCGACAAGTCCTAAGTTACTAGTCAGTAGTATAGTTATAACTAGTTGTTAAGGATGTTAGTTTTTTAACACCATTATCATCAAAATTTCAATAAAATTTTTTAAATTTAGAATTAACATTTTAAAGCAAATTGAACATAGAAAGCAATGGAAACTTGCAGCCCAATGTGTGGCTCAAAAAAACAAATGAAAGCCCTGCAAGGCTAATGAAAAGCTTGAATTGATTGGTTAGCGCCCAACCACCAGCTAGACTCTTAACACAAACCTTGTTCAATGTAACCCATCACATCTTCATTGCATAAAATGCACAAAAAATTGATATTTTTCACTGACTGGCCAACAAATATGGTGGGGTGAGACAAGTGACTTTGCCTTTGGCACTTGAATATGTCACTGAACAAAGGATTTCTTCCAAAGACACAAATGTCAAGTGCCTCTGAGTGGGCACATTCCACTTTGACACCAATGTGGACAATGCCTTGTCTCCAGCCATGTACTTCTCCACAAAGGCAACCTCCCCAAAGGAAAATTGCAAGAAGCAATGGACTTGGCCAGCACAGAAAGGCAATGTGGATGCTGATTGTAAATATATCACATCACCACTTGTGATGGTAGCCCCAGAAGCCAGTCTGCAGGATGAACTGCACATGCAAGTGCTGTCAAGAAATAGCAAGCCACTGCTTTGAAGTGCTGCCATCATCTTCTTGGTTGGCTGTCTGACATTTTCCAAGAAACATCCTTCCCTGAAAGATTCCACATGTGTTTCCAATGAATGCATATGCTCAGCAATCACTGAAGCCAGCAAAGATTTTTCATACGATGATGTGTTGCAGAGCAAATTTCCATGCTTCCTGATGTCCTTATGCTTTCTTTCCAAAGACCAAACCCCAGGGAGTTGACCATGGAGTTTCAAAGCATCACTGAAATGCATAGCCCAATGAAACTTAGGCCTGAACTCTTCTGACCAACCTGCACTGATGGTAGAAGCCAGTGCTGCTTCCACCAACTCAAGCAAATGTTTGTGGCAAGGCCTTTGCAATGAAGGAATTGCCACACAATAGTTCAAGACCTTGCACCAATCCAAGAAGCATCGACAAGCTGCAATGCATAGCCCATGTGGAATGCAACACAATTCCACATAATATGCCATGATCTCACAAACTCCAAGCATTTCACTTGCTGAGCACTTGAATTTAGAAGCTTTCTTGTGCGATTCCACTGCTTTGTTGTCAAATAGACTATGCACAGCCACCTTCCCTTTCTTTGGGTGCACCCACAGTGTGAAAAATCCATGGAGCTGCTTCCAGATGTCCACCTCACCACTGTCATACAATGATTGGATCAAAAGAAATGTAATCCATGTCAAGACACCATTGGAAGCCAAGCCATGCATAAAGTCATGCATGTACTGGCTGATGGGTCGCAAAATGTTTTGTTTCTTAAGTATAGCACTGGCCAGAAGTGCTTGGGCAGACCAGTCAATGCCAGCTGCTTGACTCCAAGTCTTCATTTGTGCCTTGCTGCATGAATTGGCTCTGGTCTCCATCCTTGTCCATGAACTCAGGATTTCTTGGTCACTGGCAATGTCAAGTTGGCTGTGCTTGATATATTTTGAAATTTCTTTTTGGCCTTGATCATCATCTTTGGCTGTTGACCTGAAAATGTTTTTGCAATGCATACACACCCTGGACCCACTGTCTTGCTTATTTGAGAATGTGAATTTTTGAGCGCTGCCATCCTGAAGGAAAAATCCCAAAGTCCAAAATAGCTTCAACCTCGAAGTCCCCCTTTGCAGCAGCACCCCAGCATGGGGGTGTGCAAATGGGTTCTCAAACATGCGCTCAAGGATCAGCCTGAAGCATTGGCCAATGTTGGCTTGCAGCTGTGCAACCTGGTCAGATCTTGTGGTTAATAAAGTAAACCACAGGTCAGACTTTGATAGGTCTCTACCAAATTCAGCAAAGGAAAAGTACAAGGCCCATGTCTTCCTTGCCCCACTGGCCAATTGATTGCCTGGGTGAAGTTCGTCAGCGTAGAGTATGCACTTCCAAGGTCTATCAAAACTGCTGGGGCACTTGGCATGTACCCTTTCAAGGTACAAAGCAAAAGCACCTCCTGCAGCATAAGCCCCTGCCAGGTAGCTGAATATGTTGCCAAACACTAAGGTGTCCGATCCACCACTCAAAGTGACACAAGATATTGTGATCAGCAAAGGTCCATACAGCTGCAAACTTTGGACCAATTGTTGGACACTGGACCTGATATCTTTCCTTTTGTGGCACTCAGGAATGCCCTCCTCTTTGGCAAGTGTAAGAATTGCTGCCAGTGCAGATTGGCTACAGAAAGGCACCCTTTGTCTGAAACTTTGCAGTTTAGCAAAGTCTGGCATTGCCCAAAGAAAGCAAATCTATGTTCACTTGGTTTGGTAAACACAATACTTGTGAAAATATGCATGTCAAGACACTTGTAAGAATGATTGCACGCCTGTAACAGAGCTGTACACTCTTGAGCACCCTTGCATGGGGCTGCATGGCTGCATGGGCCTGAAGTGAAAAAAGTTGAAAGAGGAAGCACCAAAGGCTTGCATGCTAGTTGAGGCTTGGGCCTGAATTGAAACAAAAAAGTTGAAACCATGGTAGCCCCAAAGGCTTGCATACAAATGAAAGCTCTGACAGCACTGCAAACAAACCATGCCAAACATACATCAGACATGGTCAAGATGGCCTTGGCACAGCTAACCACAAAATTGCACTGCACACGTGTTCCAAATGCAAACTAGATTGGTTTTTCAGCACCCCTGCCAAGTGCACAAAGCATTGGCATTTGCCATGGAACCCCTGCGTGAAGGCAAGTGTTTTCACTTGCTTTTCTTAGCCTTCAAAGACTTCTTCTGCGCAAATGAGCTCCATTCAGATCTGCTGGAAAACCTTTGGCCTTGAAATGAGGGCTCCCAGCATGTAGAGCACCCTTTGACATTGCCCCTGCACCTCAGGCATCCATAGATTCCTTTCTTGAACTCAGGTGACAGCTTCTTTGAAGGCATGTCATCATCCTTGGAACTGCTCTTTTTCTTCTTTGGCACATGTGTTGCCTTTTGTGAGGCTGCTTTTGAGGCTGGCCTCTTCATCACTGCATCGATTGCTCTTGCTTGCCTTTTGGTAAGCATATCATGTGCTTCCATCTCATAATCTTCAAGGGACTTCTGGTCATTGGCCTTGTCTTCAGCAATCTCCTCAGGAGTACCCTCTGTCTCATGCTCAGCAGAAGGTGCAGGAAGAGGTAGAGGTTCTTTTGATTCAACAGGCAACACTTTCCTGTTAAGCAAATCTATGGTTGATGGATTGGACTCAGGCGATTCAAGAGATTGATGTGAAGAAGACCTTGCCAATTGCAATCCATTTTGGTCATTGTTCACTTGCTGACTCTTCAAAGCATCTAAGGCTTTTGCCTGGTCCATGAGCATACTCATAAGCTTGCAGCCAATGCCCATGAAGTGATCCACACCCCCTGCCATAGTGCTTGAAGATGAAGCCTGCTGAGGTGTTGGCACATTCTTGAGGTCTTTGGAGTTCACCCTGATCTTAACCTGTTTGACAATGGTGCCCACATTTGCCACAATGTCAGGTGGTGATCTCAAAGGCCAATTGTCAGGCTCATAGCAAGCCTCCAAGAATGCCTGCACAGGATTTGAAAACACACATAAAAATACTATCAAACATAAACACAGCTGTTTTAAGGCAGTGTGACCTTCACCAAAGCACAGTCACAACAATGTGATAAAACAATGATTCAACAAAGTTACACTGTCACAAATGCACATGCACCAAAACTTGTAACCAAAGTGCCTCTCCAATGTCAAAAGGACTTGGAGGATATTTGGCCATACCACCGTGCAATGGTTGAACACCACAGGCAATGAAGGTGTCATGAACAAACTGGGATAGTTTGTACATCTCAGCAGCTGGAGGAAGGGTCTTGGTGGAATTCATTTGGAGGCAGACAAGAAAGGCTGTCATGTGCTTCTTTGTATCTTCCTTCAAGCTTCTCAGCCCACACTTCTTCATCCTTTTGATCAAAATGGAAGCAGCATCGATGGTATTGCACCCATCAAGAATTTGTTGCCATTCATTCTTGGCAAGGTAGTTAAAAGACATTGTCATACTTTGAGGTGTCGTCTGCAGCCTTGTTGGCCCCTGAATTGAAGCTGCAGTTTTTTCCTCCAAGCATGTCACCAATTCACTCTTGATATCCTCAGGCAAGGCGCTCTTTTGCAAGGTGCTGGTCAGTGTGACAAAACTTGATGGTGAAAGCATTTGAGCAGCATCAACCTTGCATTTCAAAGCATCTTTCATCTTTGGTAGAAGTTCACTACCTCTGTTCATCTTGGAGATAAGCTCCATGTCTGTGATTTCTTTCACAAGGTCTTCAACACTCCAAGAAGCCATGGTTCTCTACAGATCCAAGGTCTAAAATGGCCTCAAATACCCCTTTGGGCCTAAAGCTTACAAGCAACATCAACTAGATTGGACCACTGTGTTGATGCCAAGGTGTTGAAATTTCAAAGACGACATATTTAGCAGAATGTACATTGAAACATCAAAAGTGAAAGCCCCACAGGCTGCTGCAACATGTGAAAACCAAAGCACATTCAATTGCTTTTATTGTAATGTAAAGCAAAGTACTTGATGATCTACATGTTTTTTCATCACACCTTTTTTGTCTCTGTTGGAGTCGAAAGTGCTCAGGTCAGAGCTTGCTGCAAGGAGTAAACATGCCACTGGGTGAGATGACTTTCCTGTGTTTGAAAGCACCAAACATCTGCATGCCTTGCACCACAAGGTAAGATTGAAACAGCTTACCCAGCACAGGATCTGCAGCCACCATCCTTGGATTGCAAAAGATCTGCATACAAAAGAATAGCCAAAAGACTATGCACCACCAACACATAAAGTTAAACTTATGCAGCTAAAAGCTGAGCGTCGAAACAAAGTGTTCTGCCTCCTCAGGGGTGCAATCAAAGACCAAACAGTTCTAAACACTTAGCAAAATAAACACATACACTATTCTGTAACATTCAACTGAAATGCGTGCTTGCACACATGCAATCCTTCTGTAGGAGCTCCATATATGCCCAATGTGGTTTGCACACTGAGTCATAGACAAATTCATTGTCCACCCACACACTGAGACACTCAGCATCATCATGTGAATGTGCCATATCCACTTTCATCTCCAAATGCTGGAAGAACATGACAAACTTTTCCTCCATCTCCACACATTTACAATTCCAGTACAGTGCTAATGCTTGAGATACAAAAAGCTTTGGTGTTAATTCAAATACCATGACACAACATTCAGTTGATTGAGGTACCTCCTCAGTATAACTGCCTATGAAAATAAAGAACACAAAAGCACCTTTGTGCTGATTATTTAAAGAAATGAAAGCACCAAGTGCTGTTAAGAATGAAATGTAATGAAAGCATCAAGTGCTGATTTTACAAAATGTTAAGACTAGAATATTGTATTTTTACTGATCTACAATAAACACAACATAGTTTACATTATATTTATATAGAAAGCTGATTATTTTTAAATTTGCCATGACAAATTGAAATGCAAACTTTTTGGATTTCAATTTGCCATGACAAATTGAAATCCAAAATGTTTGCATTTCAATTTGTCATGGCAAATTGAAATATGAAATGTCTTGATTTCAATTTGTCATGACAAACTGAACAACACCAAATCAATCTAATTGATTAAAGGTTTGATATGCGCAAAACCAATTTCTGAAAGATATATTTACATATACAACAATGATCGACACTGCAAATGGCTTACTGTAGATATCAACCAACAAGTCTTTTTGACTCCTGCAAACTACTTTGTCAACTCAATACTTAGTGGTGAGTCCATACTCACCATCTAAGTTTTTTGGCCACCCATGTTCTTTCACATGAGCAAGTAAGCTGTTAGTCCAATCCTGCATCAAAGGAATGCATTCCCATCTTTGTAAAAGGCGCCTCATCCTGTGAACCTCTCCAAGCCTCCAGGCAACAATGAGGCCACCCATCTTTCTGAACCATCCTCCACCATTAGAAGGAGGTACCCACTCTGTAGGGTCCTGCAAACAAAACTGAACAATTGGACATTACATATGGACATACCAAAAACTTGGTGTCACAGCTTCAATCCATCTTTAACATAAACATACATTATCATTTTGAAGCTTGGTCCTGAGAAGGCACCTTGCTTGGAGCGCCATATAGAAACTTCTTCATCTCACTGGGGTTGCAAACTAGCTTCACTGGAGTAGTTCCACTCAAGTCTTGTTGGGCAGCCAATGGCAGCCCAGGAGCAAACTTAGAGCTTGAAGATGATGTAGCACACAAAAACCCACTAGATGAAGAGACCTGAGCTGTAGTAGGTGCAAGAGGCACTGTATAGTCTGGAGGGTGCAAAGGCATAGGGGGTGCAGCCTTAGCTTTTGCACCTGGGATTTGTGGTGAAGGAGGAGACTGCTTTGCTGTTGCTGATGATGGTCTGGGTGCATCATCATCTTCTTCTTCTGAAGGCCAAAGGTTGTTCTCATCCATCTTGCTTGCAAAACTGGTCAAAAAGCTGAATACATCATCAGAGATGTTCTGGGTAGTATCATCTGCACATTTGTTGTCCTTGGTTGGCAATGAGTCTTAGATGTACACCAAAATGATTAAAGCAATACATCAAAAATACAATAGATAACAATGCCACATACAAGCCAAAGGTCATTGGCTATCACCTGGTCAGCTTCTCCAGGCTGGGGTAGCTTGATTCTTTTCCTCTGAGCCCTCCATGGGGCTTCTTCAGCACCAGCTCTCTTCATGGCAGCAAAATAAAGTGTGAAAAGAACAAATAAGTGTAAATCATACCTGATGTAGATACATGTGATGCGCTTGGCTGAGTCACATCAAAGACTGTTAGTTCTATTGCAACCAAACTGTGTTTGATTAACTGTTTTTGATTGTGTTTTTGTGTCTCATCACCATTGTTTTGAAAAACTGCTAGCTGCTACACACATACACATCAAATGAGGATGCTTGTATTACACAAGAAAGTTGTCATGAACTGATTGTAAAAAATAAATCACATGAAAGCCTCATAGGCTGAATAGCAAACAAAAGCCCTCAAGGCTTGATCACACATATAAATTGACTGGCATGACAATCTTCTTGTACCTTACATCAGCAAACAGCAAAACTACATATGCACAAAGGAGACTTTTCACCAATCTCTCTCTTGTACATACTGCACACACTGCCTAAGCAGTCTTGGCCTTCTTGGCAGAAGGGCCTTTGCCAAAGACCTCATCTGGGTCAGAACTCTTGAGCAGCAATGTTTTTGGTTCGATGGGCTCTTCATTCTCCAAAATAGGGATGTGCAATCCCCTGTACTCCACCCATGCCATTTTCAAACTGATCTCCTCATCATCACCAGAACTCCTGACCCAATAGTAGGGACACAAGGTTCCTGTCTCTTCTGGCTTTGCAAAATTGTTGAAGCTCTTGAATGGTTGTATCTGGTAAGGCTTTGTCTTGTACCATGCCACACAATGCTTTGCCTTCTCCAAGATCTTTGTTTGGTCTTTGACTGGCACAAGTGAGCAGGTGCCCATGGGGAAAAGTTTGATCTCCTTCTTCTTGACCTTCTTGAGCACAGCCAAATTGGAAGGATTGCTAACAAAAGCCAGCACACCATCACCAACTTTGTTGTTCATATAGGCCTCCATGAGCAGTGCAGTGGCCTGAACCTTGTCAACCTCCTTCTGCACCATCTCAAGGTTGTGTGGTAGCCTGTCTGTGGTGAGCTTTGCTGGGCAAAGTGCAGTGGGCTCTTTCTTTGTTGCCCTCCGCTTCTTCAATGATGTCAGCTCTTCAGTAACCACCAAAGCATCAGCAAATAAGGGCACATGCTGAAAGGTTGCCTTCTTGTCATCCACAGCTTTCAGGATAAAGATTTGGTCTGGGTAGTCATGGTGTGTGTACCTGCAACAATCTGAATAGAGCAAGTGTGTTGAGCAACAGCAAAGGTGAAACCAAAATACCTCAATCTTGACAACACAAACAAATAAGGATGCTGGTTGACAACAAGGGAAAGCCAGCAGAAAGCAAGCTGGGAAACACCAACAAGTTTTGATGCAAGCAAAGTACTTGTCTCCAATGCGAATGTGAGCATTTTGAAACAAGGCAACCTCTTGGCTGGAGCAATTGAGGAGGTCTTTGACAGCTGAGCCTGCAGAAGCTGACCCCCCTGCAGGTTCACTGTGTGTGGTCACCCTCACACTGCCATTCAGCTCCTGTGAGAACAGCTCAACAATCTCCCCAAAGGACTTGTAAACCTCTTGTTTGGCAACCTTTTCTTTGTTCAAGATATGCAAGACCATCCTGACAGCTGCATTCCCCCAGCAAATGTAGCCCACATCAGGTGCCACCCCTGCCCCCAATGCTTGCTTCCAAAGAGTAAAAAACATTTCATCCAATTTTCTGGTGGTATCCTTGCCTTTGAGCTTGTCAAAGTCACTCTTGAAAAGGAGCCTTGAGAAGCCATCAGCATGCTTTCTGGAAATGAGCATCACAGCTGCAAGGCCAATCCTTGTCAGAGCCATGGATTGTACTGGTAGCCTGAAGTCATACATGGCCAAGTGATTCATCATTTCCTCACCCAGCATCAAGGAGTGGCCATGGTTTTTGCCTAGGATGGTGTGCGACTGGGCCACACAAGTGGTAGTAGATTTACACATAGAGAGAATCAGAAACACACTGGTTAGCAATGCTGTAGCAAAACTCACTCACAAACACACAAAATAGGTTGAACATTGTTATGAACATACAAGGCACAATGGGTGTCCAAACACTTCAGCAATGGAAAGGAGTCTCCACCACTGTACATCTTGCAGAAGTATGCAACATCTTCCAAATAGTGCTTGCAGGCAGGTGCACTGTGCCTCACAGCCAGGACTGCCTCATCCATTTTCATTCCTCCTCTATACAGCTCTGCTAGCTGCATCATGCACTCAAGCTCATTGCTTGCAATTTGTGTGCTATTGTGGCTATTCATAGCCATTGCTGCAAATGCAGGCAAAGTGGGCCATAGCCTCTCAGCTTCATTTGAGATGATCTTCCAAGACCATCCTTTCACCAAAAGATCCTTCAAATCTGCACTGACTGTGGGTTGGCTCCCATCTGGTCCTTTGCAGCCAGCATCAACAGCTCTGGCCCACTGCACAAAGTGGCTGTTGGCTATAGTCAGGTAGCGCTCATGACCAGAAAGTGGAGCTAAAAGCCCTTTGGAACCTTGATCATCTTGATGTTTGCAGCAATTTGGCCTTCTCTAGCACTGTTGTCCAAGGCCAGCTCAATTGCCAAGGAGTTGGGTGGCAACAAATCAGCTTCCACACCAGCAGCAACAATGTCAGTGCCTTTTCTATGGCAGTTGAAAGGGTTGACCATTGATGAACCCCTGTTGTGGGGGTGGCACATGAAAGAGGCTGGACATGCAGTAGTACAGTGCACCAGGCCCACTGCCTCCAATGCTCCCAAAACCCTCTGCAATCGAACATTTATACCAAGAGGGCAGGCAGTGCTCAAAAGCTCATCAATTCCATGCTTCACTTCATCAGATAATGCCATGGCTGCAAAGCAGCTCAAAATGTGGAGCTCCTACAAAGGTAACAAGTTGACACCTTGTTGTTCCAATGCATGCAAACATGGGATGCAGTCTAGCCAGCTTTTTTGGTGGCCCCTGACTATGCTCATTACTGCAATCTTGTTGCACACAAACCCTTCATATCCTGCCTGCAGCAAGATGATGACATAGCTATATGTTTTTGGAAAGCTGCTTTGCCATGCCAAATACTATTGTATCTTGAAAACAATGTGCAAAGTTAAAATGAAAGCCCTGACAGGCAAGCTCTGCATTCAAGAATGAAAATGAAAGCCCTTAAAGGCTGCTTGCAGCCAAGCAAAAGAAGATTGACACACATGCCTTTGAGTACAAAATGCACAAAACATCTCTGGGCCAAAACTCAGATTTTTTGGCACCAGCAGCTCAGCTTGCAGGATGCTTTTGCATCAACCATTTTTGTCAACCTTCTTCACAAATCTACCACTCTTTTGGTAGGACCTTTTGCCACCACCATCAGAATGGCAATCAGGCTGCAAGAAGTCAAAGATTGCAGACAACTGATCTTCCTTGAGCATGACCAGAAGGTCTCCAGATAATGACCTCTTCCCATGGCAGAGAATGCTGACCAATGTGTTGCCAACCTCGATCTCAACCAGCTGCTCTGCCTTTGCCTTTCTGTCAGTGATGTTGCTGCCATCACCCTTTGCAGCAAGCAGCTTGCCATTCCTCATCTTCTTCAGCTCAGAGATCTTGTTTCCATTGGCAAGTGCACTCTTTCTACTAGAGCAGTTGCAGACCAATCTTGAAAGCCATGGTGCACTGCCCTGAATCTTCAAAAAGGGTTGCCCACTCAGGTCCTGCATATTTGCTGCTTTTGAAGTATGTCTTATTGCAGGTGTGTAGAATGACAAAAATAAACTTCAAAACAACCAACACCCCTTTGAGCACAGTAATGACCAAATGTCCTCCACAATGTAGGTGTCTGGGATGGTGACACGCTTGGAGCCATTAAAGCTCAACTCCACTTTGTAGGTGAGGATCACTCCTTTGAAATCATCTTCTGCATTGCAAGGGCTGCCAGAAGCATCAGACTTGTCACAGGGTGAATGTGTTTCTTCAGCCATCCTTGTCTGGACAATGATGATGTGCTTTGGGCCAAACAAATCCTAGAATTGTGCAAAATGAAAACACAAACAATGGAAGAAATGAAAGCCCTCAAGGCTAGAAACAAACAAATGCAAAAGCACCTTCTCCAATGTGCTGCTTGGGTGGTTGGACTGGACCGCCTAGTATAGAAACAAGTGTTTGGTTGTCAACATTCAAGAACAATGTAAACCCTAAACAATGGTTGCAGCTTCTTAGTTGTTTGTTGCAAATGCTTTGGTTTGACACCAGCAAGCAATTCTTGTATTGAAAAAATGCACAAAGGGATTTGCAAAACCTTGGCTTGCATTGTTTTTTGGCCAGGCTGGTAACCTGCCATGCAATGCTGCAAAGCTTGTTTAACTTGCACACAACTAAGAAAAAACTTTGCCTATGAAAGAAAAAGTCAATAGCAGTTCAAGCTTTTTCAATAGTGTAAGTAAAGCCAAAAATTAGCTAACTGTTAATAACTTTCATAACAGTTTAAGAAAACTAACACAATTAGCTAACTTTTGCTAAGACTTAATAACTTCTTTAATTTTGCTAACACATTACAATGGGTTATGATCATGTTAGTAATATGTTAACAAGCTGTTAATACAAAGTTAATAACAACCTGAACTTTGCTAACTAGTTAACAACACCCCAGCCCATCTAAGCACTAGAAGCAAACACTCCTGAGTCCAGCTCTGCAACGCTGTTGCCCGTACTACGTTTGTACTACAAACTGACCGCTTCTGAGTCCAGCTCCGAAAAGCTCTTTCCCGCACTACATTTGCACTACAAACTGGCCACTTCTGAGTCCAGCTCCGAAAAGCTCTTTCCCGCACTACATTTGCACAACAAACTGGCCACCAGCTCCACAAGTGAAGCGCCAAGTCTCCAAAACGAGCGTTTCGAACGAGACTTCCTCCAAAAGTGAAGCGCCAAGTCTCCAAAACGAGCGTTTCGTACGAGACTTCCTCCAAAAGTGAAGCGCAATCTCACCTGCATTTCACGCCCTCGACACGCACGATCTCCACAGAGGGTTGCCCGCGAAAAATCCAAAACGCAATCTCACCTGCATTTTGCGCCCTCGACACGCACGATCTCCGCAGAGGGTTACCCGGAACAAATCCAAAACGCAATCTCACCTGCGTTTCGCGCCCTCAACACGCGCGATTTCCGCAGAGGGTTGCGCCGGACCGGGCCAAAACGCAATCTCACCTGCGTTTCGCGCCCTCGACGCGCACGATCTCCGCAGAGGGTCGCGCCAGACCGGGCAAAAAAGTAATCTCACCTGCATTTCGCGCCCTCGACACGCGCGATCTCCGCAGAGGGTTGCGTTTCGTGGTGCTCCGGCGGCACCGCCCCCGGCCTTCAGAGAGAAAGAAAAGAAGAGCGACAGGATACGCAGGTGTGAGATGCGCCGATGTGAAGATGTCGTGAAGATGTAGATGCGCAGATGTGAAGATGTGACGATGTAGATGTAAAGATGTGAAGATGCGCAGATGTGAAGATGTGAAGATGAGCAGAGATGTAGATGCAGATATGAAGATGAGCAGAGATGTAGATGCGCAAATGTAGATGTTCAGATGTGAAGATGTGAAGATGTAGATGAGACGTAGTTCTACAGATGCTTTTTTACGAGAAACCCTTCGCAGACGCTCTCGGGAATAAAATGTACCAAAAGAATCAGAAAAAGGAAAAAGTCGGATCTGAGCAATTGATTTTTTATATTCTCTGAAACTTTCTGATCTGACTTTTGGGACTGACTGTTTTTGGTTTCTTGACTTTTTTAAATTTGAAAACAGGCTCTCTCCAATGAAAGACTGTTACAATGAAAAATTCATTCTGAGTCAACCACCCGGTGGCCAGAGGAAACCCTGGCATCCGAAGGCGGACCTGGTGACACGCACGGGGCTCGCATGTGCCATTGAACACCTGTGCGCACACAACATTTCACGTTGATGTGGTGACCTATCAGTGCTGCATCAACATGATGAGGCAGCACCGCACCAACGGAATCGACCCCAATAACACAAACGTCAACCAACAATTCCAGTCGAGCTTTATGAAGGCCTGCGCTCTGCACCCGCAATGTTGTCGTACTTGGCACGCTGCGAGCGCCAACGGCATGCTCCACCTGACAGCGTCACTTCAACTGTTTCAGGCAGCGCCCAGAAGTATAGCCTCTCACTGGTCTTACAGTATGTCTTTTGAACGCGCGTCTGGATTTGAGACAATCCAGCTTTTGCAAAAATGAAGACCTGCGGACCTGCGGAGGAAACGAGTGAAACTATGCCGTTGCATGGCTGCAAGCAACCATAAGACATGTGTGATCGAAATGGCTCTCGCATAAGAGATAAGAGGAGGGTCTTCATACGTCTAAACCATCACATCATAATGCGCGCTAAAGCTCGGAACGTAACTAGTCACACCCTTCCGGAAAAAAACGCAAAGCGTATCGAGTCAAGAAGTTGCACACCCCGTGAGTCCACAACCCCCCAGACCCCCAGAGTCAAAACACGCAAACCTCAGCCAATGCCGCAGCCGACTGCTTTGCTGCTGCAACCTGAGACATGACGCGCTCTAAAAATTGCATTTTCCGCCTCAGCCACTGAAAACTATATATAGTCAAATTACCGCTCAGCTACGCAAACTACAAGAGCACCTTTTCTCCTTTGAGCTGCAACGCTGCAAATCGGGACCACACGTAAAACCCTAGCATCAGGTGATGTATATATTTCAACACCCCCCTGCTTTCACTGGCAGCGCGTGAATTAGCAGCTGCACTTGGAAATGGCTTATGAGCATAGCGTTGCAGCTAGCAACTCGCACCCATACACCTTTTGGTACCAGCACTGCTACGTACTTGGTTTTTCTTAGTACGGGCGCTGGGGCCACAGCACAATTATGGAAAAATTGAAGTTGCTTTCAAATGAGTGAAGGAAGATGGATGTTGGTGGCTTTTGAGAAATGTATGAAGATGTTTTGAAATGATGGAAGATGGATGTTGATGAGATGTATGAATATGTTTTTTGGAATTTCTAACTGGCGTTTCAGTCATGCATTTGAAACTCACTGGATTTACGTTTCTAAGCGCAAAAACAGTGAACGTTTTTCTGGTTTGCTCACTGAGCCAGATGCCGAGATGGCATCTGCTCAATCAGGCTGTTGGTTTGTTTTACAAGCTTGTCTGATCATCCTCATCACCATCCATGCATCCATCCAGAAATCACAAAAATACATGTGACCAATCAAGCATAAAGCAAGAGCGCTGGCACCGAGATGGCACCAGTAGCCCAGCGACGCTG